TTTTACATGGTGATTTGTATGAAAGGATTTACATGAAACAGCCGGAAGGCTTCTTTGATAAAACTAATCCTAATCATGTGTGTCTTTTAAAGAAATCCCTTTATGGACTGAAACAGTCCCCTAGGCAATGGAACATAAAGTTTGATGAATGCATGAAATCTTTGAAATTTAGTAGAAGCAATTTTGATCATTGTTTGTATTTTAAAATAGCATGTGAGCATCCCATATTCTTGCTATTATATGTTGATGATATGTTGATTATGTGTCCTAGTTTGGAAACAATTAATCATGTAAAAGATTGTTTAAGCAAGAAGTTTGATATGAAATACCTAGGAGATGCAAAGGTAATTCTTGGTATGAATATACTTAGGAAAAGAAAAGATAACATGCTGTTTTTAAATCAGTCTTCATACATTAAGAAAATTTTGAATAAATTCTGTATGGTTGATGCTAAACCTTCTGCTGTCCCCCTCACTTCTAATTTCATTTTATCTAAAGAGCAATGCCCAAAATCTGAAACTGATGTGAAATACATGCTGAATGTGCCTTATACTAGTGCTGTAGGTTCTATTATGTACCTGATGGTGTGCACTAGGCCTGATTTAGCATATTCTATTAGCTGTTTGAGTAGATACATGGCTAACCCGGGTGTTGAACACTGGAGTGCATTAAAGTGTGTGTTTAAATACTTAGTTGATACTATTGAAGTTGGTCTAGTATTTGGTAAACACACTAATGAGTTAAAACTGAATGGCTATGTGGATTCTAACTATGCGAATGATAGAGACTCTAGGAAGTCTACTACGTCGTATATCTTTACTTTGTGTGGTTCTTGTGTTAGTTGGAAATCCCAACTACAACATATTGTTGCCCTCTCTACGACAGAATCGGAATATGTGGCCATAACTGAAGCATTGAAGGAAGGTATGTGGTTAAAAGGTTTATTAAATGAAATAGGCTACTTGAAAAATGAAGTAACAGTTTTTTCAGATAGTCAATCCGGAATTCAGCTTTGTAAAAACCCAGTCTTTCATGATCGAACGAAACATATAGATGTTAGGTTTCATTTCATTCGTGATATAGTGTCTAAGGGTTTTTTAAAACTAGAAAAAATACCTTCTGAGTATAATCCTGCGGACATGGGAACAAAAGTTTTATCAATAACAAAATTCAATTTGTGTAAGAAAACAGTTTATATAGATACTTTTGATTAGGAGAATCTTTAAAACTTGAAGGTTTGTATCTTTTGTTGTTTAAAATTCTGTTTTCAGCATGACATATTTAATCATGTAGCTGTTTTTGTTAGTTGTGAAGCTGAGTTGTTTTTATAGTTGTTTTAATTCTTGAGAACATTAACCGTGTTAATAAGTCCGCAGGTTAAAAGACTAAATCGTTGGAGCTCGGACAGGGATGACACCCTTAAAGCACTTTCTCCAATGCCCAAAAAGGTGGAGATTTGTGATGTTTTGTGCATATTACACTTCGACCCGACCCGACCTATCGAAACCCGGATCCCGTGCCCGCGGTTCGACCCGATTGAGTGATGAATTGGAGGATGGGTTCGGTTGGCCTGAACCGCCCTGGACCGCCCTCAAACCGGTCCAAGGGGTCTGATATATATATATCCTGCTTCCCGGTTCACTGAACAGATTAATCCTCACTCCTTCTATCGCGATATTCACCCTCTGGAGCCCTAGCTTTCCCGACGAACGCGATCGATCTGTCTGGTGCATTCCGGCGAGTTTGGCCATCGGAACTTGAAGTTCATCCACCGTGGTTGTGTTACAGCTTGTTCTAGAGCTGTTCTTCGGTTTGATTTCTCGATTCTATGTTTATGGGCTGTTCGTGGTGTAATTGATTGTCCGCGATGATTTAGGCTTAGAATCTTGAGATTTCTTTCGATTAGGTTGTTAATCGCGCTGATTGTGCGTTTCTGTGGATGTCGGTAGTGTTTGGGTCGAGGTTGTGTGTAAGTGTTGCTAGTCGGTTGAAATATTGGGTAAACTGAGTCCGAACTCCTTCGATTAACAAAGTATACAAAAGATTCGATGTTTCTTGTTTCATATGTGTTCGATTAGTTGTAAACTACAAGTATTAGGTCCTAAATTTCGATTACATAGTTTATAAAAATATTCTAATAAAAAATAAGAACTAAATGAATAAGAAGTCATTCAAGTTATACGGGCTAAAAATTATGAAAATAAATAAATAATGATAGATTAACAAAAACTTTGAGACCATAAAGTAGAATGGTGTCTATGTTTTGTGAAATGGTTGAAAATAAATATTTTATGTAAAATAGAGGGAATTGTGTAAAAGATATAAAAATAATAAATGTGTATAGTATATTACTCCCCCCGTCACACCTACTATATCCACATTGCTGTTTATTTCCGTCCCACATTCAATTTCACTTTTTTTTAGAAAATGATTATCACTTTAATCTCATTTTAAATTTTTTAATTTATTATTTTTATTTTAATTAAACTAATTAGTTATCTTAACTTTAATCTATAATTATTTATATTATAGGATAATTATTTTCATTAATACATTTTTAATTATCTACTAATTATATTTATTCTAAATTCTCGTATCTACAGTGATCCAGACATCCAATGTGAGACGGAGGGAGTAATTTTTTTGAAAAAAATATATATGAAAAAATAATCGAAAGAACAAACCCGAAATTTCTATTATAACAAAAATAATAATCACATGTATCTCATATGTACCTTTATAACATCCATACATAGTGTGAAGTGTTAGAACTCCCATGTGATTTGAAAATTTTCTTTTATTAAAAACATCAAATTAAAATTTGAATTTATATTATGTCAAATTTATTTTTTTCTGTTTTGATTTTCAAAATACAAAGGAAAACCTTTATTATTATTATTATTATTATTATTATTATTATTATTATTATTATTAGGTAAAAGCAGATATGATATGTGTGGTTTAACTTTGGTTAAATTAGGGGTTCATTACATGTCAATTTAATTAGGGCTATTCCTTTTCATAGAATTCAATCAATTAATTGTAAGGATCAATAAAAATGTAAAAATGTAATTTATATATATGATAAATAAATAAAAATCAACGGTCCAGATTGAAATGATGATGAGATTTTTAATAAAAAGCTAGAGAATCACATAATTTGTCTAACACACCTCAGCCTCACACAGAAACGGCAATTTAGGGACAAATATATAACTAACTAATTTTGGCAATTTATTTAATATTGCAGGAAAATAAATAAATAAATTGGAGGTGCCAGCTGTCAGCTGTCACAACTCAATTGTATTTACGTGCCTAAATTTTTTTTTTTTGGGTTTCGTTAAAAACACAGAGATAAGATACATCTTACAGTCAAGACTGCTCTTTTCATCCCTCATTTTCATTTTGATCATTCCTCTGATTTGATGTCCCTTTGCCTGCCTTTTATTAAAACAATAATAATAATAATATCCTGACAAGTTTAGGTAATTTTTAATTTATTTGTGTTAAAAATTTTGGGGGAAGATAATGAAATTGTCTTGTTAATCATTAAAATAAAGATCCTATATATAGGCAATACAAAACAGAGTCGATAGACTCAAATCTAAGTAATCTACTTTACGAATAAGATCAAATTTAGATATAAATCTACTAAATCTAAAACTGAATATCTAAAATATCTCAACAATTTGTAATATTACTTATGTCGTCTATTTTTTTTCCAATCTTATTTTTCCGTCTCGTAAAGAATAACGTAACGGTAAGAGTGGTAATAAACCCTCGACCCTCCTTCTCACGTTGGATGTCTGGGTCACTATAGACACGAAAATTTAGGATAAGTATAATTAGTAGATAATTAAAAATGTATCACTAAAAATAATTATCCTATATTATAAATAATTATAAATTAAGGTTAAAATAACTAATTAATTTAATTAAAATTTAAAAAAAAATAAATTAGAAAATTTAAAATGAGATTAAAGTGTATAATCATTTTCCAAAAAAGAAAAATAACATGTGATGTGAGACGAACAAAAACAATGTGGATATGGTAGGTAGGACGGAGGGAGTATGATAATATTGATCTAAATAAATGTAAAATTTACTCTCTTGGTCCCTTAAGTAAATATTCGTTTGTTTTTTGCAAATAGTCTAAAATATATTATTATTATATTGATATACAATATGAATAAAATGTAAATAACTAAAATAATTTTATTATTATTGTGTATTATAAAAGTAATTGTAGTTGTATAATACTCTCTCCGTCCTAATTCAAAGTATCTTTTTTACCATTTTTGTATGTCCCATTTGAAAATATCTATTTACAATTTTATAAAAAATAATCGTACATTAACACTAAAATATTCTTAATTTTTATTTAATTACAAACATACTATTATACATACATTATTTTAAACAAAAAGTCAAAGGAAAAAGGAACAAGAGGAAGAGAGTATATTCTAAGTTGTAAGAGTATATGTAGGGTGTGGTTGTTTGAGGGTTTGGATTTTGAGTTGGGATTTAAATAGTAAAAATTTTGAATTTGAATAGTTGTATGATGTGATATAAATAGGTGTTGATATGATGTTTTGAATGTAAAATTGATTTTTAGTATAATATAAAAAATAAAAAATAGGTGTTTGATTTAATATTTTTTGAGGAAAAAAATGGGATGAATAGTGGAAATCTAATCCAATCCCACAAACAAACACACCTGTAATGTTAATTAGATAATACCGTTACTAAAAAAAAAAAAAACTTTATTATATGATATATCAAAATAGAAAAATAAATAATTTATTAAAAGATATAAAAAAAATATATTATATATAAATATATTTTTAAAAAACAATTTAAGTGGCCCCACTCTCTCACCACCTCCCTATATATCCATCAATTTCCTTAGCTTTTCCTAATTTTTAACTTCACTTCACTGCCTGCTGCTGCACTCCATCTCTTTCCCCACTCTCTTCCCTTTTATCTCTCTCCCCCCCCCCCCCCCCCCCCCCTCTCTCTCTCTCTCTCTAAACTTTTGTAGAAGAAGGAATATTGATCAAAAAAGGGTCAAGATCGAGATTAAGATCAAGATTTGGAATCAAGAAAATCCATTAATCCTTTTTTGTCCATGGTGGACGTCGACCGGAGGATGACCGGCCTGAACCCGGCCCACATGGCCGGCCTCCGCCGGCTCTCGGCCCGCGCCGCCGCATCCGCTCCTTCAACGCCGCTGCCGCCGCGCAACAGCCAGTTCTCCTTCACTACCCTGGCGGAGAAGGTCATTTCCCACCTGAAAACCTCCGGCGTCCAGGTCCAACCCGGCCTGACCGAACCGGAATTCGCCCTGGCCGAAGCCGAGTTCGGATTCGTCTTCCCGCCGGACTTGAGAGCCGTTCTTTCTGCCGGCTTGCCTCTCGGCGCCGGCTTCCCCGACTGGCGCTCCTCCGGCTCGGCTCGGCTCCACCTCCGCGCCTCCATTGACCTCCCCGTCGCCGCTATTTCTTTCCACATAGCTCGGAACGCCGTCTGGTCCAAGCCGTGGGGCCCCAGACCCGACGACCCGGAATCCGCGGTCAAAATTGCCCGAACCGCTTTGAAACGGGCCCCGCTTTTGATACCCGTTTTCAACCATTGTTATCTCCCCTGCAACCCTTGCCTCGCCGGAAATCCGATTTTCTACGTCGACGAGAATCGGATTTTCTGCTGCGGATTCGATTTATCGGACTTTTTCGATCGCGAATCGACTCTTTTCCGGCGAGGCTCCGACCCGAATCTCCTCTCCAAGCACCTCCCGAAGTCGAGCTCATCGTCGGTCGATTTCTCGCGGAGGAGCTTGGACGCCGGCGGCCGGCAGCCGCGGTGGGTCGAATTCTGGAGCGACGCTGCCGTGGATCGCCGCCGCCGGAATTCGAATTCATCCTCTTCGTCCTCATCTTCTCCGGACAGGTTCATCGACATGCCTAGATCCGGAATGCCGAAATGGATCGACGACTACGTAGGGCGGTTAGCCTTGGTTCTGCGCGACGGCGGCTGGCCGGAATCCGACGTGTCCGACATCGTCGACGTGTCGGCGGCGGGATTCTTCGAGTGCGAAATGGTGCTCGTCGACAACCAGGCGGTGCTGGATGCTCTGCTCCTTAAAGCGGATCGGTTCTCCGACACGCTCCGGAAAGCCGGGTGGAGCTCCGAGGAGGTTTCCGACGCCTTCGGATTCGACTTCCGGCAGGATAAGGATCGGAAACCGGCGAAGAAGCTGCCGCCCGAGGTAGCAGAGCGGTTCGAGAAACTCGCCGAGTCGTTGAACCGGTCGGCGGCGTAGATTCGAACCGGCCCGGCCGGCAAACATCGAGATTCTTCCGCGCGTTTTCCCGTCTTTCGAAGTCTCGGGTTTGCGCTTTTGCCTGATTCCAAGTACAAACTTTGTTTTAGGAAATCGTAAAAGAAACACGACTTTGATGTTGTCTTTTTTTAAAAAATTGATTCGGCCCTATACTTGTAATGAAATTTTTTAAGACAATATTAAACTATTTTTGCCACGGGTATTTTTAGTATGCATTCATTGATTATTTATTTTTGGCAAAATTTCATAATTATTAATTATATATAATATAAATAAGTTTTTATTTCGGGGTTCGGAAATAAAGCGGAGCGGCACAGTTACCAACACGGGGGCCGCACGTGTGCGCGTTGAAAAGTAAGTGGCTCCTGGATTTGGAGTCCAGGAGTTTCGATTCCTTTGGAGGTAAGCGACACCCGGGCGTTCTACAGAGTATGTGGATCCTGAACAAATAATACGACGTCGTACGCAACTATTAATGATTTAATGTTACTAGTGTCTGTTCGAATACTCATAAGGGCGTGAATATTAGTCCCTGTTTTGCTAATCTCTTTTTTCCTGATGATGCTGAGAAGTATTTTGGAATAACTATTAAATGTTATGTCCATTATTTTGTGTTTTGGAATGAAAATATTTTTAAAAATAAATATAAAAAATTGTGTCGATAATATAAAAAATAATATTTTTATAAATTATAAAATATATATGTTATAAAGATATTGTATTAATATGTGTGTATTATATTTTTTTCAACAATATTTTGGTAAATTGTGAACAAATTTAATTTATTTTTATTATATGATTGTCGTAATGTCTAGTCTAATATATTATTTTATTTTACAGAACATTTAAAAAATAACAAAAATAATTATTTTGATAAGATTTTCTATATCTAGAAACAAAAATACAAAAAAAAAACTTTTAAATAACATTTTATCTGTCATTTAAATTTAAATTTAAATTTATTTCTTTTTTTGTTGTTATATATAAAAAAAATTATTTTATTTTTAGCAAAAAAATATATATTTTTACTATAAAATAAAATAATTTATATTATTACTTTTAATATTATTATTTTTTAAATGATGTAAATATAAATTTAAATGACGGAGAAATAACAAAAAAATCACAATCACACTAAAAAAAATGAAAATAGTGTTCAAAATTGGTTGCCTGGGGTTAATGCTCTAGGTAAACACCTATGGAAGTACCTACTTCTATTATTATGATTATTATTATTGTAAATTAAATTTGAATTTTATTTTGTATTGAAATAGTATATAATAAAATAGTAGTCAAAAGATTCTCTTTAACAACACAATTGTTGTGCAAATAGTGTGACTAAATCTCATAATAACTCCCTCATGTCGTAAATCACGTTTTATCGGAATTCATTCAATTAATAATAATTACTCACTTCGTCATTTAAATCTATTATTTTATTTTTATTATTGTCATCTAAATTTATTTTCGTTTCATTTTTAGTACTATTTTTTTTACAAAAAAAAAAAAAGTAAAAATTTCTATTCTTACATATTTTTCTTAAAATTTATGTATGATCAAATGAGCACATAATTGGATGACGAATGGAGTAATAATAACTTCAATTAATAATAATAATAATAATGATACTAATACTTCATCCGTACAATTTCTATTGTTTTAAAGTATATTTACATTATTTTTTAGGTAATTGTCTTTTTGTTATGAATTAACAAATTTGTCTTTAAGTGTATGGCAGAGATTAAAAGTAATAAATGAATTAAGGATAAAAATGTAAAATTTGTATTTAAAAAAAAAATAGTTATTGGACGTCCCAAATAAAAAATTAGGACATTAATTTGTGGACGGAAAGAGTAATAATAATAATAATAATAATAATAGCCCGTCTATGTCCAAAATTTGTACTAAAAACTTTTTGTCGTGAGTTTAAATATATGGAGTTTGATCAATACTTTTTTAAATAATAATAATAATAATATAATAAAAAATAATATATTTTTTTTCTATACAAAAAAGAAAAATGTGAACATTTTTAAGAAATGAAAAAATAAGCACAATTTTTAGGAGGCGAGTATTATTATTAGCTCTTAAAAAGACCACATTACATGTCACAGGACAAAAGAGGAGTCATATGTCCAATAAATAAATAAATAAATAAAAAGAAAAAAAAGGAGTCATATATTCAACAAGATTTGACAGAAAAATAAATACTCCTCCGTGATGGTGCATTTGCTGTCCTAACGGTCAATTCTCCCACTAACTAACAATTTTTCCTTTTTTTTTTTTCTTATTTTTTTTTCCAAATACTCCCTCAGTTCCATATTTCATGTTCACATTGTTGTTTCTATCCGTCCCACATTCACGTCACTTTCGTTTTTTAAAAAATGATTAAACACTTTAATTTCATTTTAAAATTTTAAATTTATTATTTTTAATTTTAATTAAACTAATTAGTTATTTTAATTTAATTTATAATTATTTATATTATAGGATAATTATTTTCAGTAATACATAAATTATTTACTAATTACACCCCTCCTAAAATACCGTATCAACAGTGTAGCAGACACGGTACGTGGGACAGAGGTAGTAATATTTTTTTTATATACAATTCTATATATATATACATATATATAATATTCTATTTTTTCATAATTTTTTTTTTAATACAAAATATTACTTTCTTTTTTTTTTTTTGTTCTAAACATGATGTAATATTTGTTTTCGATACAGGAATTTTAGATAAATAATATTAAATATAATAATTTAAGAATAGAATAATATGATGAGAAAAAATATATATATATTTATTTGAATAATATAATTAGATAAAATGTAAGATATATATTAAATATATTTAATTATTTCATATTTTAGAAGTCTTGGAAGATTATACAGAACAAAAAATATGTATATATATATTGCCAGGTAAAATGATTATTATTTTTTATATTATATCATATTAAAAAGACATATCTCAAAGTACAGGATTATACAAATAAACCCAAAGCTTTAGTCTTATTCAACTCGAGCCTCAATAAAATAGAAACGATTTGTTATGGATCCTAGACTAGGACAAAATATTTATAAGTTAGACTACTTATATGAAAAAATAATAATAAATAAATAAATAAATAGTACAAATTTACAATAGAAAAAGATTGGACAGGTTCCAAATTCAAATGATTTTGGGTGAAATAATCTCTAACCGATTTCAATACAATATAATTTTATTTTTTTTAATATAACGTCAAAACTCGCAGCAGTTACTCAAGTCTTTATTACTAAAAAAAATAAAATTGATATACAAAAGTTTATCTACCTAACTTTTTGTGATTTTAAATTCTTTTCCTCAATATAAAGTATATATATATATATATTTACCACAAAATTGTATATACATTTACAATTGTGTAAAATAGAAAATATGATATAAATATTCAATTTAATAGTTTTGGAATTTTTCTTTGTGAATAATTGAAATAAAATAAAAATGTTCAAACCTTTTATAAAGTCAAAATGAAAGGTTTGTCTCTTTATATAGGTAATAATAAAATAATATTTTATCTTAAATGTTACTTTTTCTTAAGATAATAATATATATATTATACATATTGGGAATGGGAAAAAAATTATTCGAAAAACAAATCTAAAATGAACGTAAGTATATTTGATTGCAAATTGGAAGATATAATTGAAAATTCAATTTTACAGTTGTAAATGAGATATTATTTCTCTCTAATTTGAGTTATGATATAGTATTTGTTTTTAATAAAAATAATTTAAATCATATTTTTAATATCTTAAGACTATACTTTAATCAAGTATATTCAATAAAAATGTCATAGTATAGATAATAAATTTTGTATAATATAAATAAATAATAAATATATACATAATTAAAATAAATAAAATTATAAAATATAATAAATTTATTTATTTATTTATGTAAGAAAGAATTAAAAACAAAACATTATAAATCAATTAGTATATTTTTATTTTTATTTTTTTTTGTTTGAGGAAATAGTCGAAATTTAACTCATAAACTCAAATGAAGGCCCATATTATCAATCTATGTTAGACATGGACCGGCCCAACAACACTTGTTGAAATTTTGGGCCTCAACATGGTCAGTCCACACTAAAATAAATTCATACCTAAGTTTATTATCTAATAAGTATATTTAATTTTTTACTAAAAATATCATAAAACATTCTTACATTAATAATAATAAAATAAAAAATTACAAGTATAGTGATAATTTGACTTAATCGATTATCAAATATATTCTAACTTTTCAATTTTATCTCTACGACTTCTCTATACGATGGCCGGGGGCTCTGGACAGCTTCGCATCCGGTCGGCTCATTTCTCCGTGATCGCTTCAACGTCTTGATTCGAAATGCTGCCTACCAATCGATAACGATAATAAAAATGAACTAACATGTAAAGTTTAACAATGTAAGAAAAAAACATCGAACCTTTTTATCGGATCCGAACTCGATCACATTAGCGGGATGGAAACGATTCGGGAAGTTTGGAGCAACGCGGCGTCGTCTACCTTCATTGCTGCAAAAATAACACGAGAATCATAAGACACTCGTGAAGACATTTACAAGACCATAAATGAACAGCAAAGACCGTCTGTCCGAGGCTTACTCTGTGATCCATGTGCCGTGCTTGCTCTTCAAGTCGGTCAAAAAAAAGGCCCCTTCTTTGTAGCTTATCCGAGCGTGCATTTTTGAGACCTAAAACGTCGAAAACCATTCGTTATGAGTAAATTTACGATGACTTTAAACGTGTTTTGTGATAAGAATGATAAGTACCTGCGGCGAATCTAATTCCACGAACACTCCCTGAAAATTTGAGTGATGAACACACCTACAACGAGAGAAGTGAATGCGCTTCAATGTGAATTGATATTAGCTAATAAGTAAGGGATTCGCATACCCGACTATACATGGCTTATTTTCGTCGCGGGTTAAGGAGATGGTCTCGCACACGACATTCGAATCGCCAACGGGGAATAGAAACCAACTACAGATATAAAGAATATCGAAGATTGCATAAGTAAGTAGCATTTTGTCTTGTAAGAAAGGATTCGTATTACTCACTCCGCGTCGAGAGCGCGCTCTAGAGCATCATCGTCATTTAACCATCTCCGTAACTCGTTACTCGCCTTCAAAATCGAAAAAAAAAAATCAAATTAAATTTTGAACTAGAAAAGCGTTGTGACGACAAAAAAGACCAACCGAATTCATACCTTGTCCGAAAGCCTACAATGCGGTACTCTTCCCTCGAGTTTTGATCTAAAAAAGGTTAGCGATTATGAACTCATAAGCTCATAATAAACTCGATTCGATTCAGTTCGATTTGATTCATTTTGTGTTACTACGAGAACAGTGAATCTTACCCGTTTCCGCCGAGAACCCAATTTAGCATTAGGGGCATAAAAACATTGACAAAGAAACCTCCTATAACTCTTCCGGGATGCTGTAAACGTAACTGTGTAAAAAATTATAGTAAACCCCGCGAACGAGTTCGCCAAATCGAGACTTTTCATATTCTTCTTATACGTTTTAAAAATCGAAGTGCGAAAGATTCTTACCGACAACGGACCAAGTCCAACGCCAAGATACGCTTTATAGTTTGTCGCCATGATCGCCGCCATTCTAGCTAGTCCATGAATGATAGCGACGCGAGCTCTTCGAGCATTCTCGTATCTAAAAACAAGCGATCAATCGATGTTTTTAGTACGATAACTCTTTTGTCCTAAAATTCTTACTCTCAAAACTCTTAGGTGAGTTTGTTTGTGGGTTTTAGTTTACGGGTTTGGATTTTTTAATATTAAAAAGTTGAATTTGAATAATTGTTTGATGTGATATAAATAGAGGTTGATATGATATTTTGAATGTAAAATAAATTATAGTATAATATATAAAAAAAGTAATTGTTTGATATGATATTTTTTAAGGGAAAAAAAAAATCCGAATAGTAAAAATCTGTGGTAAATCCCACAAAAGAACACAACTTTACCTTTTTAAAGATCCGACGATGTCAACTGGCTTTCCCAACTCAACGCTTTTCCTCCACGCTCTATCGAGCTCTAGCGCTAACTGGTAAGCGTCCTGAATCATTGATCGTACAACGCTCCAACAATCAAATCAAGAAAAACGTAATTCAATTCGCTCGATTTCATCAAGAACACCCACCTCAATGGCCATGCAACCTCCTTGTCCCATGTTCGGTTGCATCGCGTGGACCGAATCTCCGAGCAACGTGACGCGACCCTTTCCCCACGTAAACATTGGATTCCGGTCGTATATATCGCGTCGAAGAATTACTTCTTCGTCCGTGGCTAGCAACAATTCTATAACATTCTCGCACCATCCTTCGAACAACTTAAGTAGCCTCGCTTTTCGACCTCCGGGAAGATCCTCGCCTCCCGGAGATTCATTATGAAATGCATACCATTGCATCTTCCCCCCTCCTACATCCGACGAAACGAAGTATTGTCCACTCCCTAAGAACACTCGATACCTATAAAATAGTTGCGCGAACACATTAGTCCGGTTCTTGAAAAAAAAAAAATGCGATCAAGCACATAAAACGTACCCAACCATCTCAATATCTACAGGCACGAAATCCACGATTCCAGTGTAACAAGTGTAGCCGGAGTATGTAGAGTCGCTCAGCCCAAACAAAATTTTGCGCACCTAAATATATTGTAAGAATGATAAGTTGTTTAGAGCTTTGTTCTTACAAAGATACATCGAATCAGAACGAGGATATTTGTATATATATATATACCTTCGACTTGATTCCATCCGCGCCAACAAGAATGTCTCCTTCGTAAAATTCCCCGTTTTCGAGCTTCACTATTACCTAAAGGAAGAAAAAGGCTTTTGCATTCTCAAATCTTCGCCTCTGGCTAGAGAAGCGAAGCATTACAACCTCGAAAAATATAGGACTATTTTTATGTACCTTTTTGCCATCATCCTTAAAATCAACAACGTTGCTATTGTTCTTTATAATGTCGGATCCAATGGCATCGGCGAGGATTTGTTGTAAGGTCATACGGCTGATCACCCGAGTCACCGGAAGGCCGCGGTCGGCTGCCGGAGTGAACATATTGAATTTTGTGTACCTACATCGATCATTTTTGCAATGAATTTCAATTTAGACAGGATATGTTTTGAATAGTAAAAATTTAAAGTAAAATTATATTTAACGTAATATAATATTTTCAATTGAAATTAAAAAATTTATATAATTTTAAATAAAAATTATAGATTTAATTCGATGATTTTATAAACAAAACAAACAAAAGTGATCATGAGAAAGAGAAGAAAGTCAAGCCTCAACTATTTTTGTGAAATAAAAGTAATAATAAAATTTTTACAAAGATTTTTTAATATATATTTAAATAAATTAATATATTACACACTTTTATTTTTATATTAAATTTACAATTTTCTTTATTTTCTATTAAAATTTATTTTTTCAAACCAAAGCCAAGCCAATTTTTAGATTGCGATTCCTAGTAAATAATAACAAAAAAATATAAAATAAAATAAAAAAGTAAAAGAAAAATCAAATACTCATTAAAAAAAAAAAAGCAAAATTAAAATATTCATTTTTATCAATTTGACACAATTTTCTATATCACACAATTAAAAAAACAAAAATCAATCCACCTAAAAACTTCTGTGAACAAAGGCATTGTGAAAAATAAAAAGTAGTCGTAATCAAACACATCATTAATTATTAAAAGAGAAAATTAAAAACACAACTAACTCGAAACCAAGTGAATCTGTAGGGAGTGTGACAGCTCACCAGTTGCCGGAGATTCCATCGACCAATCCATTCACACGATCGCCGGTGATACATCCCGCCCCCATGATCTCCTCCGCCGCCGCCGCGTCGACAGCCTCCAGCGCCGCCAGCGCATTGCTCTGTATCTGAATCGGACCTCTGTACCGCCCCTCACCTCTCACGGCGCTCAAATCCCTCTCCAGCACCGCCACGTCAAACCCCTTCCTCTTCGCCGCCAGCGCAAAAACCAGGCCGCCAATCCCGCCGCCGGCGACCAAAATCCTCAGCTTATCACCGCCGCCGGATTCCTCGGCCGCTCCGGCGCCGCCGCAGGCCTTTGCAAGAAATGATTCTCCGCGCCGGCGGCGGCATGGCGGCGATTCAACGGCTACCGGAAAATTGATCTGAGGGGAAGAGGAAAGGACGGAACTCATAGTCAACGTTTCTGGGAAAGAAAAATAAAATCTGATTTTTGGAAGGCCTTAATTGCTAATTATATAATTACGACGGCGGTATGGCGGCGGCGCTGCTGTCCTAGCTCGTAAGTTGTAAATTAGACTTTTATTTTATTTTTTTTGTGATTGAAAATTGGGAACGAATCCGAGCTGTGGAAGCAACGACTATGGCGGGTTGGACACGTGGCACAGTGGCGATTGGTCCTATACTTTTTCGTATAGGACTATTTATTTCTTCTGCACTTGACCGACCTTAACGTTAGGGTCAACTGTTGGGGGGTATGGGCCCCTGTAATAAAAAGAAAAAGGTTGTTGGGATAATGTTTGGTTAAGTATTGTTGAAAGGGTGTTGATTGGTCTTAATTAGTTATTTTTCTATTTCATTTGAATATATGGACTTCTGCATTCAATATTTTTTTAAAAGATTTTTTATAAATATTTCATTTGTTCCAATACAATATAATATTATGTACCATTTTTATTTATCTTAAAATAATAATTTTATTTTTATAAATAATCATATTATCATAAAATTATCCCTATTTTTTTATTATTACAATTGCTACTACTTTTTACACTAATATATTCACAAGAGCAAAACAGTAATTTATCTTTACTTTTTACTAACTACCAATATAATATCAATATTTTTTTAAATTTCGCGTCCAACACAACAAGACTATACTTTTGGGATGGAGGAAGTATTACTTTCTCTGTTTCAAATTAAATTGGTGTCTTTGGGGTTTTCTATTAAATTAAGAAATAATAATATATTTTTTTTTTCATAAAATCAGCATAATTTATCTTTTAACATTATTATCTTTACAAATGTCATTGTATTTGTATTATAAGAGTATGATATTTTTGTTATTTTTTCTTGATTATACTATAATAATTAATATTTTAAAGATTAACATGCAAAAAAACTAATGTTACTCTTCTTATGGGACGGAGGTAGTAGTATTTTGTTAGTCAATTAAAATGCGTACGAGTTTTTGATATTTTTACTCTTTAATTTTATGTATAAAGCTAAATAAACAAACTTTATGCTTATTTTTATTTTGGATTGCTGTCAAATAATATTTTAATTCTTTTAGTTAAAAATTATATTTCATCCATCCTGTAAAAATGTACTATTTTGTATGTAACTTTTTTAATATTAGTTTGTAATAAAACAAAATAAAATTAATCATTTTAGTATTGTATAATATAAAAATAATGATATTTGTATAATATATTATAAATTATAATAATATTTATAATATTAGATAGATAGTACAAAATTTGAAGTAAAAAATGATATATCGAGACTATTAAATAATACTCTTTTTATGGGACAGAGAATATAATTTTTATACATTTTTTAATAAAAAATATTAATAAATTATTATTCAAATTTATTAAAATTCATATTGAAACATTTGAACATATAATTCAAAGACGGAAGGAACATACTTCCTCCGTCCCATAACCATGTATCCATTTGTTTTTTGCATGAAATTTTAGAAATATTAGTATTATATTGTGATGCAGTAAGAATAAAATGAAAATGACTAAAATAACCTTATTAGTATTATGTGATATAAAGGTAATGACATTTGTGTAATATATTGTAAGTTGTAAAGGTATTTGTAATGTTAGGTAGATAGTACAATTACTAAAATTAAAAATGGATACTTTGTTATGGGACATATTAAAATAAAAAAAAGGATAGTTTGTTAAGGGACGGAGGGAGTATAAAATATGAGTTGTTAGTATATTACTTTAATTAATACAATATATATTATGTAAATTATATTAACTTTGTATTATATTAAGATGTGTTTAGTATTTTAATTTGAAATGTATTTTTTTATATGTCGATAATGTAGAAAATAATATTTTATGTTAAATATAGAGTAATTTTTTATGAAAAAATATACTCTATCCGTCATCGGAACAGTTGAATTTAAAAAATAATAATATTATGTTAAAATAGATATAAAATAAATTAGGTACAAAACTATAATATTTTTGTAAATATATTTGTGAAAAAGGTAATGACATTACATAATAATAATAAAAAATTATTTTATAGTGATATGATTATTTTTTTAAAAAAATTATTGTTTAAAAATAGATGAAATAAAAATAATAAAACTATTATTAAACAAAACTAATATATTATATTATATTATATTATATAATAATTTATAAATTGTGTAAGATAAAAAGTTAGTTGGGCGAATAAACCCATATTGTGTTGTTAATTTAAATTTTATACTACTATATATTATATGTTTATATTTTATTTGTTGTAAGTATAACATTGATTAGACTCAATCAATATTGTAACACTTGTCCTTGAAATTTATTTTTCACTTAATTTTTAATTAAGAGTATTATTCAAATGGTGTCAGCTATTGATATGAAAATGGAATTTTTATATCAAAAAGTTGAGGAAAGGAATGGACGGTTGGGCGAAGGGTTTTTGGAAGTAATTTATTTAATGTTGGTGGGGGGTGCGGTGGGGTGAGGTATTTTCAAATTTTTACTATAATTTTTTTTTTAAATATTAAATTAAATATTTATATTATATTAAAGTTTTATTTTACATTTAAAATTTCATATCAGCATATTTTATCATATTAAATAATTATTTTAATTAAAATTTTTTACTATTTAAATTTCAATAAAAATTCAAATTTTCAAACAAAGACACCCTAAAATAGGGGTGTCAATTCATATTTTTGGGTCGTGTTCGCATCGGGTTGAGCCATGAGGATAACAAAAAAATTGTCAATCCGAATCCGATCCGAACCCGAAATCTGACCTGAAACCCTAGACCCGAACACGACATGAATTCTTTCAGGTCGAATTCAGGTTGACCTGAATTAGTTTCAGGTCACCCGAAACCCGATACGAACCCGACACGAAACAGACCCGAAAATTTTAAAAATTAAATTGACCTAAAAAATATTATTTTTATTTTTATTTTTATATTTAAAATAATATAAATATTATAAATTAAAATAATAATGATAAAAATTTCAGGTCAACCCGAAACACGAAACCCAAAACCTAACTTGATTTTGATATTTCAGGTTATTAGGTTAACCCGAAACACGACCCGAACACGACACGAATTTTTTTTATTTCAGGTTCGAACCGACTTGATTTTTTTCAAACCCAAAATATCTAGATCCGAACCTGAAAAATTTCAGGTCGAACGGGCTCATTTTTCGGGTCGGGTTTACTTTTGACAACCTTACCCTAATTCATTGTAAACTTGCATAAGAGTTGTCATTAAAAATATCAAGAGTGAGCAGAGCTGTTTTGCAATGAGTGAGTCAAACACCAAACATCTCATAAGTGTACTTGCATAAGAGAGTTCATTTTTTATAAAATACTATAAAATAAATTATTTATCAATTACTTATTTATTATTCAAACAACGCTATCTTTTTTTTATTTGTATAAAATTAGTAATGAGGTGTGTTTACCATAAAATTTGTACCTATTTTAATTTAACATAAAGAAAATTCACACATTAAAAAAATACAATATAATTTATATTCTTCCGTGATATAAAAAAAGTAATATTTATTTTTTTACACATAAATTTTAGAATATTAGTATTATGTTTATTTATAATAATAAAAAATATTCATATCAATATTATATAATATAAAAGTAATTATATTTATATAATATATTGTAAATTGTAAAAATATTTATTATATTAGATAAATAATAGAATAACTAAATTAAAAAACAAAAAATTTATTTTAGAAATGAGATAAATTAAAAATATAACCCATTTTATGGGATGAAGAACATATAATTTTACTAAAATACAATTAAGTACTTCACCCGTTCATTATCTATCTATACACGTTTGTTTTTTCACGGAGTTTTTATAAATATTAATATTATATTTGAGTATGGTATAAATACAATGAAAAAGACTAAAATAACCTTATTAGTATTATATTATATAAAAGTAATGACATTTGTGTAATATATGATAAATTATAAAAAAAAATTTAATATTAATAAAAATACAAAGAAATTAATACTCCTTTATTATAGAATAATGAAAAAAAAAATGAATATATTATTCCCTCCGTCCCGTATACCGTATCTGCTACACTGTAGACACAATATTTTAGGATGAGTGTAATTAGTAGATAATTAAAAATGTATTAGTGAAAATAATTATGCTATAATATAAATAATTATAAATTAAAATTAAGATAATTAATTAGTTTAATTAAAATTAAAATAAATAAATTAAAAAATTTAAAATGATATTAAAATATGTAATTATTTTAAAAAAAATATATATAGAATATGAGACGGGCAAATACAGCAACGAGAATCAAATAGGAGTACTAGTTATGCAATTTATTCTAGCATTTCCTATTGATGTGATTGATATTAAATAACATTCAATGCACAGAGACACAGACATAGTCACGTATTATTCTCAAAGAAACATTTGCATGATGATTGCCACAGCCACCGTTCACTTATTGTCTCTTATCTGCACTTTACTAATTTACCCTTCAATATGTAATGTTACTTCTTAAAAATCGATCAAAACATGATATTCCTTTCGTACAAATTTAAAGTAGCTTTTACTATTTTTTTTAAAATCTTATTTTAAAGTAATACTAAAATATTTCAAATATTTATTTAAATTAAAAATATACCATTATATATAATTATTTTATATATAAAATTAAATTACAAAAATATTAAAATATTTTATATATTTTTATTAATTAATAAAATATTATTATTTTTTAATCTAACCTAATATAAAATCCTAAAAAAATCATTTGATCTGAGACAAAGAGAGTATAAAAAATAAAAAATATTACTTCTTCCGTCTCTTAACAATTTATTTATTTATTTATTTTGGTTTGTTCCATAACAAAGTATTTATTTTCTCTTTTAATAATTGTACTATCTACCTAATATTATAAATATTTTTTCAATTTATAATATATTATACAATGTTATTACTTTTATATCATACAATACTGATAGAGTTAATTTAGTTTTTTATCTTTATTTTTATTTTATTTTATTATAATACTAATATTTTTAAAACTCTGTATAAAAAGCAAATTGATATATAGATATGATGAGTAAATATATCTTATACTATTTTATTTTTTATTATTTAAAAAGTTTCTTAGAACTGCACAAATAAAGGTTGTCGATGGCAGTGGTGATGACGATGGATAGCTATATTGGGCACAGCCATACTCTCTGACGCAAAATTACAAAACACATTTTACAATTTCGAGGCCAATTCATTTCGGGTATTTTCAGGTTTGGATCTTTCTATTTTCCAAGTCGATACGATCCATTCGTTCGTAGAACTATTTACTCGAGCCGCTCTCCCGGGTATTAATCACTCGTCCAGCCATTACAAAACTTATGATATAATATCATGATTTATTATTATTATTATTAATTAATTAAATATTATTATTTTAAATATATTTTTAATAATAAAAGTAATTGATTATCTTTGCAACTAAAGAAATACTCTCTCTGTCCAGAAATTAATGTCCGTTGGACATGAGTTCAAAAACACTTGGGAATGAGGCTTAAAGACAAAAGTGGTGTCAGAGTTCATTGGCCACGGAGCCGTTCAACAACAGCTTCAATCCTCGGAGCCAAAGACTACTGCTTCCACATAGCCGAATACAACAGTTTCCATTGGATTGTGGTGCTTCAACAGGGCCGAAAGCAGCAGCCTCCATGGACCTTAGGGCAGCAACTCCTTGGACTATGACGATGGATTCCATAAGATCAGAAAGTGTTGTCTCAATTGAGTTGAAAACAACTAACTCTATTGGACTGCGGTGTTTCCAGAAAGCGGAGAAAGGTTGTCTCCACAAGGTAGAAAACAACACCTTCCACAGATCATGGGATAACTACCTCCGTTGGCCCTGAGTTAATAATTTCGTACTTAACATTAGTGGAGGATCTATGCACTCTCATACTTTATTCAAAAAGCTCTATGGAACAAGCCAACAAGAGGAAAACCGAATATTTCATTTAACTCAAGGCTGTTGGGGATAGATCCCCGTGGACCGGCTAGGAGTACGATGGAAACAAGTCGGAATAAGCAACAGATATGGTCAAAGGCAATGGAAGAAGTTCAGAGTAAGTGGAAACCGGTCCAAAGGCAATGGAAGCGGTTGGAAGCTGATGGAAGAAGGTTACCGGGTGGTTAGGAGCTTATGGAAGGAGGTTACTAGGTAGTTAGGAGGTAGTGGAAGTAGGTTACCAGGAAGTTTGAGGCAGTAGTGAGAGGTTACCAGGAAGTTTGAGGTAGTAGTGAGAGGTTACCAAGTGATTGAGAGTAGTGGAAGAATAATTGTAACCGACCTTTTTAGTGGGAGAGGTGGTTATTCTAGCTTAGGATTAAAACTAGTAAAAAACACAACACACACGCACAACAGATCAAATCGTATTTTTTTCTATTTTCTTTTCATGTTCTAGTTTCGTTTTTAGGCATTTTAATTCGAATTACATGGCTTTATGACTAGCATATTTTTATCCGTTTTTCAGTAGATTTATCCGAGTTTTAGTAAATGTTAGTTTAAATCCATCGACATCGGTCGCTTAGGCTCGAAGCCTCGTGTAAGATCGAAGCTGTGCAGGCTCCATCGTAGGAGCCGCCCCAATCCGACGACGGACAGACTCTTTGGAATACTTTCGGAACCCACACCGACAAATCGACGAACATTCTTGGAATCTCCGAATTTTAGGATCCAACAATGTCTTAATTTCCTATTTGGAATGTCCAATAATTATTGTCCTCTTTCTATTTATATACATAAAGTTTATTCTTTTACTCTTATTTTATTTATTCTTTCATTTTCTATACACAAGATTAAAGACAAATTTGTCATTTTATAACAAAAACTTTAATCGTCTAAAAATACGTGTAAATATCAAATAAGACATTGAAAAATAGACGGAGAGAGTATAATATTAAATATTCCTTTGGTCCGAAAAATTTAATTCACTTAGACTCAGCATTCGAATTTAAAAAATAAAAAGTTTATTGAAAAATAAAAAAAATAAAAAATAATTGAAAATATTTTTAAATATTTAATTAAAAATTTTAAAAAATATAAAGAGAATACAATAAAATAAATAATATTTATTGTAAATAAATATTGAAACGAAAAATAATAATTAAATATTATTTTTTATTATTTTTTAAATATAATAATAAAATAAATTTAATCTACCCAAAAAAAATTATAATAAATTTGAAAGAGAAAATGAATATTCAATAATTATTTATACAAACCAAAATAAATAAATAAATAAATAAAAGACACACCCACACTCCCAAACCCCGTAAAACAGAGAATGAAATGTTTGAAGTATATCTTCATCTTCATCTTCTTCACATGGAATTGCTCATCACATTCAGACAAATATCTGCCAGCTCAACAATGGCCCCATCTTCTCCACCCGTACCCCTACCCCGCCATTGAAATTCTCCCCATTTTCTTATCTTCTTACATCGATCTGCTTCTTTATCTCTAATTTCTGTACCTATATATTTCAATTTCTGGTCGGAATTCCATTTGTCTGTAAGAATCTAATCAATTTTTCATCGATTTGCCTCTCAATTAGAAAATTAGGGTTTCGGATTTTCGACAAATCGTCAACAGTCTTGTCTTCATAAGTTAGTGCCTGATTTGATTTGATAGAGCACTTCTCTTGTCTTTATACGTGTAATAATACATGACTGTCCTCTCCCCTCCTCTTAAGTAAATTAATAAAAGCTTCAGAGATAATAAAAATGGCCGAAATTACTACATCGGACAACCTCAGTAGCCGCCGGAGATCATGAGGAGAAATTACAGCTCGTTCAGGACTTCGGGAGCCTACACAAGTCCCGGGACCCCCGAGCACTGCGAAGACCAGATCATTACAGCGGGGGAAATCCCGAAAACATGGTGCTCCGAGAGGGTCCCCTTGCCGGTGCGGCGGCCGGCGGTCAGCGCCGCCGCCGCCGCCTTGCTGCCCTACAGCGCCGCCGGCAGAACTCTGCCATCGAAATGGGACGACGCCGAGCGGTGGATTACCAGTCCGTTGGATTTCAAGATTCAGCCTCAGAGACGGCCCAAGTCGAAGAGCGGTCCGTTGGGGCCGCCGGGGATCGTGTTTCTGCCGTCGCCGGGGGCCGGAAATGTGAGGAGTTTCTTGGCGGCGCCGTCGCCTCTGACCACCGGAGTTTTGGTCCCAAACGGACTAACCGTTCATTACGAGGCTGGGAATGCTGCAAGATCCAATTTTCTGTTCGGTTTGTCCGATTTTTGATTGCCGTCGGAATCTTGCATTTTTTAGTACTTTGCCTGAAATTGATCGATAAATTCGATGACAGGTAATGAAATTGTCGAGGCCGGCGCCGGCGCCGGAGACAGAGACGCCCCTGTTCCGCGCCGCCGCGATGTCGCCACGCAGATGAGCCCCGATGAAACCAGTGTTTGTTCGTCGCCCAGAGGAACGACGTCGTTCTCGAATTTACCGTCGGCGGCGCCGGCCGGCGATGATCCCGCCGGAAAAGATGAAGTTAGGGACGTCGAAGTCGACCGGGGCGCCACAATTTTCCGGCAGGGCAAGAAACGTTCGACAAATTCGACTTGGAATATTAACGAGGAATTAAATAATAATTCGACAAAGTATGGCTCCTATACATACAAGATAATTTTTTTAAAAAAATAATATTATATTAATTATCTTTTATATTTCATAAAAATATCATATATTTCAATTTTTTCTATTTTCAAATTGCTTTCGACATTTATCAATATTTTTATTTTATCTCAAATTTATAATAAAAATACTAGTGAAAATATTTGGTTTGATTTACCGTAAACTTGAATCAATATAATCGAACTTTCTTTTTGTGCATTTGATTATCTTGATTTTTACAATCTTACAACTTCGATATAATCGATTTATCTAGATAAAGCCTATATTGGATTGTGTACCTAATTCACATTCGAGCTGCGCGAAATTAACAGCTAATGGATTGGTGTTTTTTCGCGTAGATTCCAACGGGAGGTAGCGAAGATCGCAGCGTGGGAGAATTTGCAGAAGGCAAAAGCCGAAGCAGCCATTCATAAACTTGAGGTTGTAATGAAATGTTAGTTGATTGCTTAATTATCCGACGGGATTCTGTCTTCGATCAATCAATTGATGTTTTTTTATGACAGGTGAAGTTGGAGAAGAAGCGATCGGCTTCTATTGACAAAATAAGGCGCAAGCTTGTCGCGGCGCAGAACAGAGCCCGCGACATGAGAGATTCGTTGTCCGAAAATCCTCGGATGCGGTCTCGTAAGAAACTCTCGAGCTGTATTTATGTCGGGAAGTTTGGATTATTCTTACCTTGCTTTAGGAGAAGATAAATCATGTCCAAAATCGATCGGGATTTTTCGGGGACTAAATACGTTTAGGATCATTTTGTATCATTGTATTTACATTAGTCTTTTTATAGTTCTTGCATTTCATTAGCTCCTTTTATGGACTTAGGTAGCATATTGATATATTTTCTATTTTTCATTCGCCATAATTCAATAGTTCTATTACATTATTATTTCAAAATAATAGTATTATTATTATAAAATTATTTTATTATTATAGAAATATCATTGTATTTATATATTTAAATTAAAATACATTAAAGGCAAAAGATTTATTATTATTATTTTTTAGGATGGTCAATATAATATCAATATTTTTTAAATTTTTTACCAAATAAATAAATAAACCTATTTTTGGGATGGATGTAGAATTTTAAAATGCAAAATTATTTAAAAATTTTGTAATTTAGAAAGTATGTAATTGACTTTTTGAACAGTAAATTTCATTATATATTAAAAAATATTATACAAATTAAAATGGTGTGAAATTATCCTTTTAAAAAAATATTGTATAAAATTATTTTAATATTTTAATATTATATTCATAATTTTCAATAACTACCATAATTTGTATAAGCAAATTTGTTCATTAAATATTTGATTTACTTTAGCATAGTTTGATTTGATGAGTTTAAATTTGATGATAAATTTAAATTACTTTGTATTTGAAATATTTTATAATAAAATTCATCATTTAAATATTATTAAAAAAAAAAGAATTTGAAACTCACAATTCACAATAAGCTTTTAAAATTTGAAATTAGTGATGTGAATGTGATCTTCTGATCGTGAAATTAAAGGTTCATACCCTCGACGCTTTCGGATTTTGCTTGCCACGATTGCGAATTTCTACGTTATCGAAAAAAAAGGAGTGTTAAAGTGTCAAATCTTTTTTTTTTCTAAAAAAAAAATATATTAAATTATTATTTAATAATTATACAATAAATATTAGATGTAATATACTCATTAACTAGTATTTCAAAATTGACCAAGATTTAAAGGTTTTGATACCATTTTGAAAGTTTTAGAGCTTATTAACTTGACTTTTAGGTTTTGTTCTGTGTTTTTAATTTTAAGTTTTTATTTATATAATAGTTTGAATGTAATATTGTTTTTTTTAGAAAGAATGATATATATTCTTAAAAAAATATTCTAGTAAACTCCAAGACTATGTTCTTTTAAAGTTTGATTTGATTTGATTTTATTTTTATATAATCCTAGCAATATATATATATATATAATTATATTATATAATCTCACATAACATTATATACAAATTACAGTTCAAACTAAAACCCAAAGACAAATTACAGATGTAAACTACAAATATTCACAGCCCAAATAATAGTTTTATGGTTTTAGATAGTTTTAGAAATATCAAAAAATTTGAATAAAATACTGATATTTGATTTGATTCTTTTTTTAAAAAAAATACTACTCCTTTCGTTCCATAAAAAATACTGTTATGAGAAAACGAGAAAGAAAGCAAATAAAGAACACAGAGGTTTTACGTGGTTCGGTGACGGTGTGTCAACCTACGTCCACGGGCAGGAACCGGAGAGATTTTATTATACTGATTCAGAGATTTACAATGTGTATTCCGACTAAGAACCATAGTTGTCTATTTATAAGCACCCCAAAACACCCTAAACCGTAAGCCTATTTGTTATCTATTAGGATAAGCCCAAAAGGAACCCTGCCAATTGAAACAGCCCTTTCGCTTTAGTTTAGGGTCGGGTAGACCGCTAAATCCAAGTCACGTTTCAACAATCTCCACCTTGACTTGGAGTTTCTCCAACCGCCAAAGGTTCGTCAGTATCTCTCAGTCGTCTCCTTCCTGCCAGATGCCCCGAGAGGGCTTTTACCTCTTACGAATATTCACCAAGTTCAAGCAGTGCTCAAACTTCTCCGTCGGTAGCGCCTTTGTCAACATATCAGCTGGATTGTGCTCTGTAGCTATTTTCTGAATAGAAAACTTGTCTTCCTCCAGAACATCACGGATAAAATTCAACCTTACATCAATATGTTTGGTTCTCTCATGATACACTGGATTTTTAGCCAAACTCAAAGCACTTTGACTATCACAGAATAACACCGGTTTCTCCACCTTCAGACCCAAACTCTGCACCAGACCATGTAACCAGATACCCTCCTTAATACCTTCAGTCATTGACATGTATTCCGCCTCAGTCGTCGACAATGCAACCGTAGGTTGTAAAGTAGACTTCCAACTGACTGCACATCCAAACAAAGTGAAGATAAAACAAGTTAGTGATCTTCGTTTCACCAAGTCACCCCCGTAATCAGAGTCTGCATAGCCAACAAGACCATCACCATGGCCTTTATCATCATATACCAGACAAATATCAGACGCTCATTTCAAATATCGCAAGATCCACTTTACAGCTCCCCAGTGAGCTTTACCCGGATTAGCCATAAACCTGCTCACCACACTAACCGCATAAGCGAGATCCGGTCTCGTACATACCATCGCATACATAAGACTTCCAACTGCACTTGAATATGGAACCGTCTTCATGTAACTAACCTCTTCATCTGTAGCCGGTATAGTGCTTCGATCAAGTTTAAAGTGTGCCGCCAAAGGGGTACTTACCGGTTTGGACTGATCAACAGAGAATGCCTGCAAAACTTTCTCAATATACTTTTCTTAAGAAACCGATAACCGTCTTGCTTCTCTATCACGCCAGATCTCCATACCAAGTATTTTCTTTGCCGCACCCAAATCCTTCATCTCAAACTCACCCTTTAGTAGAGCCTTTAAGTCATTAATTACAGCCATATTTTTAGCTGCAATTTAACATATCATCCACATACAACAGCAGATACACAAAGGAATCAGTAGAAACTTTCTTCGAGTAAACACAGTTATCAAACTGATTACGAGTATAACCATTAGACACCATGAATGAGTCAAATCTCTTGTACCATTGCCTCGGAGACTGCTTCAAGCCATACAAAGATTTCTTTAACAAGCATACCTGGTCCCCTTTAGAACTGTAGAACCCCTCCGGTTGAGACATATAAATCTGTTCTTCTAGATTACCATGAAGGAATGCTGTTTTTACATCAAGCTGCTCCAGCTCCAGATCAAAAGCACCCACCATTGCCAAAAGAACCCGAATGGTTTTGTGTTTCACCACAGGAGAAAAGACTTCATGGTAATCGATTCCTTCCTTCTGTGAAAACCCTTTTGCCACCAGTCTCGCCTTGAACCTAGCAGGTTCAACACCAGGAATTCCCTTCTTTCTTTTAAAGACCCACTTGCATCCCACTGGCTTCACCCCTTTTGGTAGTGCAACAAGATCCCAAGTCTTGTTCTTTTCAAGAGACTGCATCTCTTCATTCATTGCCATAATCCAGGTTTCTGCATCTTTACTCGCCACAGCTTCTTTATATGTCTTTGGCTTATCAGAGCCAAGATCATCACCAACCGCTAGTGCATAAGCAACAGAATCCATGTCACACGTATTGACACATCCTGCAAACCTAGCTGGTTTCTGAATATTTCTCTTTCCCTTTCTTGCTGCTATGGAATCTTCAACCCCCGTACCAGCGTCATCAGCTTCCCCCTCAACCGGTTTCCCTTGAGGTTTTGACTGATCTGGTTGATCGGATTGATCAATAGTATTATCCTGCTGCTTTTCCTCTAACACAACTCTGTCAGGAGTCTCAAACTCCACCCTCTGGTTAGCACCACAATCTTTTGTACCTGCAATACTTTCACAACCTCTACTCTGATCAAGCATAGCAGATTCATCAAAGGTTACATCTCTGCTAATAAGAAATTTACCAGGATTTTTACCTTCTGTACACCACAGTCGATAACCTTTTACTCCTGTTGCATACCCTAGAAATATGCATTTTACCGCCCTCGGCTCCAGCTTACCATCATTCACATGAGCGTATGCAGGGCATCCAAATATTCTTAGATTAGAGTAATCAGAGGGTTTACCGGACCATACCTCTTGAGGAGTCTTTAAGTCAATTGCAGTTGATGGAGATCTATTAACCAGATAGCTAGCAGTGTTTACTGCTTCAGCCCAGAATTGCTTAGACAAGCCAGCAAATATGCGCATACACCTAGCACGCGCCATGAGGGTTTGGTTCATTCGCTCTGCAACTCCATTTTGTTGTGGTGTGTGTCGTACAGTGCGGTGCCTCACTATACCTTCTTTCTTGCAGAAATCATCAAATGGAGCGTTGCAGAACTCCAACCCATTATCAGTTCTTAGAGTCTTGACCTGTTTACCCGTCCGTTTTTCAACCATGGTCTTCCACTCCTTGAACTTCCCAAACACCTCATCTTTAGTCTTTAGAAAGTACAACCAGACCTTTCTCGAATAATCATCTATGAAAGTGACAAAGTAAGAACACCCGCCCTGCGATTTCACCGGAGAGGGACCCCATAGATCTGAATGAACATACTCCAGAATTTCTTTTGAAGTGTGATGACCGGTACTAAACCTCACCCTGCGTTGCTTCCCTTTTACACAAGCCTCACAGAATTGAATTTTACCTATCACATCCCCACCAAATAAACCCTGCTTGCTCAACACAGACAACCCTAGCTCACTCATGTGACCTAATCGCCGGTGCCACAAATTTGTCCTGTCATCATGTTTATCCAAGGACTGAGATACCGCCGCCGTTCCCATCACTGAACTGCCCTGTAGAAAATAAATTCCATGCTGCAGTTTTCCCTTCATCATTACCAGCGCACCTTTCAGGACTTTCACCCACTCACCTTCACCATGATATTTTAAACCATTCTTGGCTAAGGTCCCAAGAGAAATCAAATTCTTTCTGAGTTCAGGAACATACCAACAGTCAAATTTCCTGACAATACCGTCATGCAATTTTATCTGCACTACCCCGCTCCCTTTTATGGCTAGAACCCCATCATCACCTAACTTCACCGTTCCATTCCACTCCTTAAAAGAAGTGAGTAGATCACGAGAGAACGTCATATGGTGAGAAGCACCGGTATCCATAATCCAGGAATCAGCAGTACTAGCACTACACGCTGTCAGAACTTCACCAAAGTCCCCATCATCAGAACTGTCTTGTACCACAGCAGCACTGCTGCCACTGTTACTAGAATCAACTTTTGTATTTCCCTTCTTTTGTGGACAATCCCTTTTAACGTGCCCTT